TTGATTTCACCTCCGAATGAGCAAACGAATTTATAAACGTCTCCAGAAATACTATTTAGCTTAAAGATAGCACATACTTTTGAGCAGAAAAAGGAAACCTTCAAGGAGCTACGTTCAAGTAGTGTTAATCAAGTAAGGGCTCTACCTTTTTCACTTGCCTGGCTTGCAGTTACTTTAATTGTAAGTACAAAAACTGAAAAACAAAAAGGAAAATTAAAGTTATTTTCGGCACAGATTCTGGACGTTCCCCCTTCCTCAGCAGCACAGGAGAATAGGACTGTTCCATAATTTTGGTCCATTTGTGCTACATTAAAAGGAAATTATGTCTTCGGTCAGGATGAATTTTTAGGTACGATGAGACTTGAGGTTTAAGTAATTGTTAGCCTTAGGAAAAGCAAATAGGCAAATTTCGTCGCAATGCCCTATGGTACTAGAGGGAGCGAGTTTGTTCTGATTATATGTGTTGTGTAACGGAGCATAAATCCGATTCCCGCTTTATTTGGCGATGTGGAGTCGACCAATGCTTACAGTTCCAGCTCTTCTATAGTAGCTGTCGGTTATATATTTTTTGATGCCTTTTCACATAGCATATATTGAGCGGAAGCAGATGTGATTGCGGATGTTGTGCACTAATAACTTTACTGCTAGCGTGCGCTCCGTGACCTGCTGAACTTTCATCTCACGAGGGGGAATTGGACAGGGTGATTGACCCGACTCTCTAGCGCCGGCGTTAGACGAAGCGTTGGCCTGTGAATTCCCCGAATGGTGAATTGCTTTGGCAAAACTGAGCCTCAGCGTCGACTATGGATTGGCCAGGTCCTTGCACCTGTTAATAGACTGGGGCCCGTGAACCGTCACTTAAGTAACTGGCGATTCACACAATTGTTACCTCTCGCAAGAATTTCGGTCTTTTCAAATTTCAATGTGTTGCCGAATCTCGTCGAATGAGCCGCAAATTGAGACTTGGTGTCCTTTTTCCGCACTGCTGCCGCGTGCTCGGCAATTCGCGTACTAAGAAGTCTTCCAGATTTTCCGATTTAGTTGCTTTCTCCTCCGAAATGAACCCATAGACGAGTCTAGATGTTTCTTGCTCTGGCAGTGGGCCTCTTTGTTTTATCATCTGATGCCTTAACTCCGACTTGTGTGCGACTACAAATCCAAGTGGTTCGAGAAGGCATTCGCTGGCCTCCGAGATGTTTTTGGCGTTCGGAATCACTCGCTAAAATTGGGAATCTTTAAGACCAACATAATCGCACGACCCTAATTTTTTACGTCAAAAACATTTTGGGGGCCATCGGAGTTGGAATTTCACACGTCGGATGCAACCATAAGGCGTCAGATAATGAAGGGGAAAGATCCAGTGCCAGGCAGGAAATATCTGGAGTTGTCTATATGATCTGATGCATTTGGGGACGAAGCAACTACATCGAGAAAAATGAAGGACACCTTAAGTCGAGAATTGCGGAACACGTAACAGCAGTGCGGAGAAAGGACACAAATTCTCGAGCTGCTGCTCATTCGACGAGGACCGACCACACATTCGAACTTTTCGTGAGAGGCAACAATCGTGTGAGTCACATGATTCATGGTTAAAGGCCCCACAGTCTGTAAACAAGTGCTATGGCCTGCCCAATCCATATTCGTTACTGAGGCTCACTTCGGCCCAAACAGTTCGCCACTCGGGGAACGCAAAGGCCAATGTTTCGTCTTAGGTCTCGATATAGAGTCTCCCCTGCCTTTGCCGGCAATTCTATGAGCCCTTAGTTGTCATAAGTCTGCAATAGCATTCTGACTGTATCATATGAATACTGCAGCCCCTCGTTTATGAAATATCCATTTTTGCTACTGTCTCTGGTGATGGATCCGTGACGAAGTTTGAAACATCAGGGAACTAAAAGTTTTGCCTCAGCGACTGCATCAGCCTCTTAAAAAGTACTTCTCGGAATTTTCTTGTTCAATTTTATTGGCGAAAACATACGTTCTGGAGAACGAGCCGGCGTCTGCGAAGCGCCGACGTACTGATGCATACTGCTTAAGTAGCGATGTTTTATCTAGTATACTTTTTAGGCGGACAAAAAGAAGCTCGCTCAAAAGTTGCTATCCTGATGTGACTGAAATGTATTGAGATTAGGCTGTATGATGATAAATGTTTCAACCATACTTAATTACTTTCTCCGAATCAAAAACAAATTTCAGTATTTCGGTTGATATTACGTGCGGTGGGGAATCTGCTGAAAGACGCAGTAGGTTGAGAGAGTAATATGTCCAGCGAAGAGGAATATTTTATAAAATCCATTGAAAAATTCTGCTTTATTTCGGTTAAAGGGTAAGAAAATTGGGCGTGTGCGCAGCGCATACGAGCGTTGCGTTCAGGTACTGTTGGCTTTTTAATTCTCAATGTTCTTATTTTGCGGTATCACCGCCTTTCTAGCTACGTTTGGCTGGAGAATGTCAGTTGCACTGACCTTTTCCTGGAAACGTCGTACCCCTCTCTCCCTCTCTATTTTGGACGTGTTTGCACATAGTGTACCGGAACTCCGGCTCACAAAATCAAACCCTTAACAGGGCAAAT